ATCATCTATCAAGGAGCGCCATTTCATATTTTACACACTAGCAACCTGGGCAACTTTTGCATCAACTTCACAATTTCAAAACTCATCCTTATCCTTCGTTTATGGAGGATCTACCTTTTACAACATTAAACATGCTCATATACAACACACTTGTACACATTGAAATTCAACCAAAGACGAAATAATTTTTTTTTCAAAATTTTAAAAACCTATCGTGAATATCATTAAGTTAAAAAATTCATCCTTAGAGAAATTCATCAAGATGGCATGATCATATGGAGTATAAAACTATATAAACTCATTTTATAACATTAAAATAACAATAATAAAGAGTCAAGACTTACCTGGATTATCAACTCCGAATTAGTTATCCTTCATAGCTCCCATCTTATAGGTAGGGTTCTTCTTTTGGAGTATTAGAATCTAGGGAAGCTTGATTGACCTCTTTCCCTCTTGCTTTGATGCTAGGGAAGTCTCTAATACTGTGGCCTTTTCTACCACAGCTAAAACAACCATCTATTCTTGCAAGACACCTACCCAAATGTTTCTTTCCACAAGTAGTGCACCTAGGACTCTCAAAAGTATGGCCACCACCTTGGGTATTTTTGTTTGGAGTCTTATCCTTGTTTCCCATGGAAGAATATTTGGGATAGAACCTCTTCTTTGGTTTTTGGTGACTAGAATCATACGATCAAGGCCTCTTACTGTCTTGCCTTATCACCCTAATTTTGGAGTCCTCAATTTGTTGTGCATACACCATGAACCAAGAAATATCCATGTCATTAAGAAGCATTGTTGTACGGAACTCTTTCTCAACCAAGCTAGACACTCCCATCACAATTTTGTTTATTATATCCCCAGAGTTTGCTACCATTGTTGGGCACACTTAGAGAGTTGGGTGAATTTGAGAGAGTACCCTTGCACACTCATTCCCTCTTGATGAAGGTTCATTAATTCACCATCTTCTTCTCACTCCACTCTAAAAGAAAGAAACTATCTACGAAAGCCTCTTTGAATTCCTCCAAATCAACAGGCCCTCTTTCTAAGGGTCTCTCTCTCTTCCACTGCTCAAACTACACTTGAGACACATTCTTGAGTTGGTAAGTGGATAATCACACCCATATCATCCAATACTTTGAAAACCTCATCTATGAAACCTTGTGGATATTCATCCACCTGAGTTTCATGAAAAGTGGGAGGGTTCATCCTCATGAAATCTCAGATTCTAGAAGCGGGAGTACTAGCATTAGGTTGAGGTCTAAATCCTTTGTTAGCTTGAGAAAAGACACCTTATATGACTCAAATCTAAGGCACGACATTAGAATAGATAAGAAAGTGAAATTTCTATCATCATATAGCCTCTTGTCCATGGATGTGTCACGACTCACACCAATGACCAATATACTATGTGTCTTGTAAGAATTTTAGACCCTAAACTATTTCTCATAACCTAATGCTCTTATACCAAGTCTGTCATAAGCTGAAAGTACCCCTTAGAAGTTAGGAAGAACCCCTAGGTCATGACCGCGCATACTTGAACCTTTGGGGACTTGTATAAGCCCTTCAACTATCGTTCATTACATAAGACATGAAAAGTAGTGAAAAATTTAAAGTTTGCAAGATTTTTAATAAAAAGCTAGTCTGTCATAAATATTTAGAGAATCTCATCGTCACAAAGCAACTTAAAGACATGATATAATATCATAAGAACACGACCATTTACATTGAAAGAAAAATACATAATAAGTCTTAATATTAAAACTAAGAAAAATATAAACTATGTCCTCGAATATATGAGGTCATACCGAATCTTGAGAGATTAGTTTTCCCAAGCTTCACCTTCAATTCTTCAAAAAATCTTCCACCCTATACTTATAGAGTATAGAGAAGTATGGGGCTAGTACAAAACAATGTACTAAGCAAGGCATATGCAAAAACATGCACAAAGGGACTTTTAGTAAAATAACCTTTCATGCCAAATAATTAAAAACATTCATGAATTTAGAAGTAAAACAACACAAGAATCATCATTTAACACTTATACAAGAATTTCAATAATTTTAACCAAAATACACCTTTACATTACACTTTCAAACTAGTAAGTGAATTCAATTTGAGCATTTGCAGTAAACTGCCCTAATTCCAAAGGAGTGAACTTCCAAGTCCAAGCAAAGAGGAAGAGAAATCATTTCCATAGGAGTTTCCCTAACTAAGGATTATCCTAAGACTCACCAAAGTAAGATACAAAAAGAAGTACACATGTGCCTCCTTCAATACACACCAAACAATCCTCAAGACTACCCTTTTTGGCTTACACACCTCGGGAGAAAAGGCCCCCACTTAAAAACAAGACATTAGAAGAACACCCCAACAACCAACCAAGACTTCCCTTTCTGAATGCCTACCAAGTTCATGAGTAGATAGAGTCCCATACCACCAGCTATCATAAGTACGACACTCTTTTAGTAGGCTTGGCACCAAGAATCCCCTTTCGGAAGGTTTACTTACTGCAATAGATAGTGTTTCATTCAACTACCTACCCTAAGTAGTACGTTATATTAAGAGACTTATGTCATTCAATTCATATAAGGCTCACTAAGACTCCTATTTTATAATTCCTACCTAGTGCAATGGATAAATAGCGTCTCATTCCACTACCTACCCCATGTAGTACACTCTTTTAGAAGACTTAGCATTTTCATTTCTTTTGTGGGGGTTTGTTTGACTGACATATACCATGAGAGATACACGATATTAACCCCTATCGGATGAGGGATCCTTACTTTCCTAGAGTTAAGTCATTTTTTTTAGCTTTTATATGGCTTTCCCAATATCTACAACTATGCGGGCGCATAGTTAAGGGATAAGGAAATTACTACTAAGTAACTCATTATCTACTAAAGAAGATTACATATTTTAAGAGGTACATTGGAATACAACATCTTAACACAGGTAGTGTCACCACGTCTTCTTCATGTACTCTCAGTGCTATAAAGAATCCCAATGGATTCTAAACATTATAAACTATAGGTAAAGTATAACTAGTGAACACCACATCTCAACTCACGAAGGGCAGTCATCCTCCGACCTATCTTGGAAAGATCTTAGTATGTAGTGAGGTTGCTACTAAACACTTCATCTCAACTTACAAAGGGTGTCCACCTCAAAACTTCTCTATTTACTTAACTTTTTTTCATTCATTCACTTAAGTGTCTGTGTGTACATGTGAGTACACCTTGAACATAAGCATAATTTCATTTACATTTTACTTCTGCACATACTTTAGATCTTTGATTCGTCAAATCACACACTTTACATGCTTTACAAAGTCATATACTTCATTTAGGCACAATCCAAGTCAAACTTTCAATTCCAGCTTCATAATACATAAAACAATAACCATATTCATTGTCACTTCATTTCACATATTAGTCCATCAAATGCCACACTCATAATACATACTAAATATAATCAATTTCGTAGTCACACCGCCACCAAGAAGGTGGACCATACCACTCAAGAGCATTTAATAATTAAAACTTCAACAACATAACCAACTTACCCTTAAATCCTAACTTCCATAACTTGTAGAATTTTTACTCAATAATTCGTCATAAATTATCCCTTAGGGCAGTAGCTTAACATCAATAACAACATAAGTAAAGCAAAGCTCAAAGACTTCAAAGCTAAGGTCATTTAATCAATTTCTTAAGCCAACGTTTGATGAAAAGATTTTACATGTTTTCATTAAATTTTTGAACTTAAAATCATCAGCTAATATTAGAAACATCATTATTAAGTTATTCAACACGTTTTCATGCAAGATCCATTTTTAGAGTTGAAGATAGGAAAAACTAGGGTTGCAAACACTTTTTAAAAATCAATTAGAAGATACTTCTTGTATGAAGAGAGTTCAATGATGTATACCACACCTTAGATAAGAGAAAATTCAGTTATCTTGATGATGAATTTGGACACCAACAGTCCTCATATCTCTTCTTGACTTATAGCTTCCAAAAGAGACTTGAGAGAGAGTTCGAAGGGAGAGGGATTTTGGATTTTAGGAAATGAGGTCTAAAATTAAGGATTAGGGTTTTAAATACTTTAATATACCTAAATAACCCTAAAATAAATGTCCTAGGGTCATAAAAGACTTGGTGTGAATTTACCAAACACCTCAAGACTTGGCAGAAAATTACAGCTTTTCACAGGCCCATCGACGACCCACAAATGACGGACCGTTCGTCAACCAATGACCCATTGGTGACTGTCCGTTGGTTGAGTATGAAACCCTCAAACCCTTCAGACATGCAGGTCCAATCGACGGACCAATTCGACAAGCCGTCAATTGGTGAACTGGCCGTGGACTGGTCCCGTTAAAGGACACTGATAGGAAGTCTTGGGTACTTATCTAGGGTCCCTTATGGGTCCTAGGTAGGGTTGTTCCCAAAAGTTAAACCCTTAAACATATTCGTCTAGGTCTTAGGAACATAGCACACCAATTTCAAGCAAAATGAACACGTAAAACTCACTCAAACACATCAAGACACACAACTGCTTTATAAGGTACACATTCCGAACGTCATTGATGTTCTTGGACGTTTGACCTCCACACATAACTAAACCTCACAAACTTCCTAAGAAAACTAATGTAACTTATTTTAACTTAAAATGAACTCAAGAAACCATCAGGAAGCTCTAGTTTACCTTAGTTTGTTTTAGGGAATTTCAAACCATGGGTCCTTGAGTAGGTGTCACATCCGAGTTTACCCCATAGACGTAACCACGTCATTATCCTTTTCAACGATTAAGACTAGCCTCTTAGTCTTATGTCATAACATTCATAGGTTGAAAATGTGGAAAAATTTATAACTTTCATTATCACTACTTGGAGGTTTACATAGATCTCTACTTACACATAATATATATTAATATCGAGTATACATAGACCTTTCATATAGAAAGGTCACTGATCCTTCTAATTTTATTGCACATACATATATAAAAATATAGAATTAGTCTCAATAATTGTCTCATCGCATACCATCAAAACGAATATCACAATATGGGCATAGCCCTTACATCAATTCAACAAGACCATCTGTAGGTCATACAAAAGTACAATATTCAATTAAAAATGAAAGGAATGATAGAGTTAATATTCTCATAACAAAATCCAAAGCTAGAGGATGGCATTGCCCTCGAAAGTTGAGGACCTACCCTACTTGGATGAAATAAAGAATCCAAGCCTTTAATAATATTGCCTTCCAAACTCTTCAACAACTCAAACCTAAAATGTTTGGCAAAAGTAAAGAAAATATGGTTAGTACACCACATGTACTAAATATGAGATATTATGCACATGCACAAACAAAACATGCTAAAAGGGACTTTTTATCAAAAACATGCCATTTTACTCCTTTAGGAACTTAATGCAAAGTCACGTAAGTCATATCAGTCAACCAACATGCTTACTATCATATAAGTAATACTAAACCGAATATACTTGAAACCATGATTTACTACAACCCTAATATCAAGGAATAATATCACAAGAATGAATAAGTGTTAAAAATATCATAATAAGCAAGACAACTACTCACAAGTTCTTATGAAGTCAACAAGAGCAATGACCAAGCAAAACCCAATAACCTTACTCAATCAAGTAGCCTCAACAACAAAACATGAACAATGTCCAACTTAACATATCATGGCATTTAGGCTTGCATTTCATCAACTATTATCGTTATAACCCAAGGCATACTCATAAATAAACTAAATCCACATATAGTATCAACAACGTTCCATGATAATTATATATACATCATATATTATCATTACATAAACATACATACGAACCTCCTCCTAAGAATACCCTTAAGGCTAACTAGTGCAATGTCTAGGTAGAGTCCCATACCCCTACCTAGACTAAGCTAGACCCCTTACGTTATTCAAGTTAGAGTTGAAGTCCTTTAATTCGTTTTCCCTTTTGGGAACATCTTGAACTAACCGACATAGACCACATGACCTTGTGTGGAATCTGTTTTCATAAAAACCTACATCCAAGAAAGGAGGACTACTTGGCAAGGTAGTACCAAAACAAGAAACATAGCATCTACGTGGATCCACTAGCTAGTATTCCCATGGGGGAACCATAGTTACAAAATTAGGAGATTTAGTTGGGACCCTCTTTATGAGCCATGTATTATAGTGTCCAAACTCAAGAGTAACATAGTGTTCCTACCTTCCCTATGTGGGAAAGGACACTCCTCTATCTAGTTCACTCGGTGCTAAGCTAGAGTCCCTTTTTGAAATATATCTAAGCCTTTAATTATCAATCATAGCTTAATTTAGGTCATGGGGTCTACCCTTTGTATAATCATCATCATCAATAGCTCAATAAGAATTGTATGAGTATAAGTCCTTTAATCACAATTCATATAAGTGAGGTTAACACATTAGCATTTCATAGCATATCAAGGCACATTGATAGTTTTCACCATCCTTATATCACATACACCTCAATCAACCTCACAACATAGTCAAGACATTTCAATAAAACATCATACCACCATATAATCCTAGTATAAGGCATACTCCAATGTAATATCATGCTTAACAACAATCAACCACAATTGGAAGAAAAGATAGAGATTCTAAGACTTACCAAGTCTTCCTGATAGTCTATCATCAAGGACTTGCCATCAACTTATAACTCAACTGAACTTGGGGAGTAATATCATCAGACAATGATGACCAATAAAATAACAGGTCCAGTTGCATCTCTGTAACCCAATTTAACTCTAGATCACAACTTTAGGCAAGATACATAGGCTAATTTAACCTTGACAATTCATAACCTAAACCACATGTCAAGAACTAGCATGATAGGCATATAATTCATCTTAATTTAATCATAATAACACCATAAAATAGTAATCAAATCAACAACCAACACAATTGAATGATCACAATACTATATAGGACAAGATTACTACCTAGGGTTAGGGATAGAGGATCATATTCTTCAATTTAGACCAAACCATCAACAATTACCATAAAAAAGTTGAATTACATGTTAATATACTGAATATAACCTTAAGAATTCCTTATCAACTCAATCCATAACTTCAATTTCGTAATTGAATGAAACCTAAAAGAAAACTAAACTTTTTGAAATCTATTTTGAAAGAACCCTTTGAGGAAAGAATCTCAAAGGTGAATAGAACACTTTTTCAGCCCCCGATTCACCTCCCAATGTAAGCTTTTACAGAGTCTTCCAATTATAGAGAGAAAGAAGAGATAAGGAAGAGATTTGATTTGAGAGATGTCTTTAGGTTAATAAGGGTTGAGGGTATTTATAGGGTCGATTAATCAACTTAATTAGTCTCCCTTTAATCCCCAACTAACCCCTAAACAACTTAATTAATTAAATGAAATCATTTAAAAGTTGGCAGTGAAAATCGACCCTCACAGACGAGACCCAATTGATGGGCCGTCTGTGAGTCGACGGACAACCCCCCTCTGTCCTGCACTCCGTCATCTTGCTCAGAGACTTTGCAGGAGATGACTCCCTATAATTTGTGTAAGTGTTGGTCGACGGTGGCATCGACATTCCATCGCTCCACACACGGACCTTAACCTGCACCTCTGCACTCCGTTGATGAGTCCAGAGATTATGAAGGTGAAAGGAACTTATCGAATAGACTAAGTTTTGGACGACTGTGGCATCGATGCCCCATCAATCCACACACGGGCCATATTTTGTTCCTTCTATGCACACTGCAAGTCAGTGTTGCACAAAACTAAGGGGTTTTCCTCAAGGGCCCTTGGTTAGTACTTGGGAATTCATACTTACACGTTTCAATGATAAAACAACTGAAACATCTATTAACTAACTTTACACCAATTTTAGTACATTTCCGACTCCTAATAGTTAGTCAAATAGGATAAGTCACACTAACATCCCTTTGAACCAACTTCCTGGATGTTTTGGTTCTTAAACCTCCTAAATGACCTATATTTCTAAACATGGAGTTAGAAAGAGTGTTTAGACTTTGTGACACCTATGAAGGCTTTACAATAAGTCTTCGATTTTCAAGGTGTTACAGTAGGAAACCAAAAATGTACTTAGGAAGTGACCCACGAAGGGCCACTCACGCTACGAAGGCCCACCACTCTGTGTGGGTGAGTGGCCATAGGTCAAGTCATGTAACACCTCGAAAAATGATTGGGTAAACTAGAGCATAACATAATTACTGGTACTCATAAAATTTTTCCCCGGATGTTAATAAGTCATTCAAAAGTTAAGTGTGATTTATTTGAGTGAAAAAAAGGGGCAAGTTCCTAGTCCAAAAGTGACAATCCAAGGCCAAAGGTCAAGACTTCACCTAGCTAGGAGCACACTCCCCCATCTTTGCTAGAGGAACAATGAACTATAGTCCACTCCACGGCTTGTGGAGGTAGTACTGAAGCTTCCTTGGCCATGAGAAATTGGACACTCTTTGTCCTATATCTTGTCTTAGAATTCACAAAAGGGACAATGCCTCGTGGTCTTGATCAAGCCCTTCGTGAATATGCCTTAGGCATTGAAGATTAGGGACCCTAATGATAAGCTCACAACTTTAAGGACCACAAGAGGGACTATGACTCGTGGTCTGTAGTCACCACTTCCCAAGCCATTGCCTAAACTCCATGGGTAGGAACACGGGTCGTGGTCCTCACTACTGCTCATGGTTCCTAGATGAGTTCACTAAGTGATGGTCTTTAATGTAATTTCTTTTTTAAGTCCAATTCAAGTTAGTCCATTTTGGTTATTTTTAGGGGTATATAAGTAAATTTTAAGTCAATTTCACCCATTTTCACGTCATAAACTCAAACACCCAAATAATTCCTAAATCCTCTCTTCTCTCAATATTTATCTCTCTAGAGACCAAAAAGAATAAGAAGAAGAAGAAGAAGAAGAAGAAGAAGAAGAAGAAGAAAAAGAAGAAGAAGAAGAAGAAGAAGAAGAAGAAGAAGAAGAAACCATTAGAACTAGGGTTTGTAGATTCTCAAGGTTCTTATCCAAATTTATTTGAGATTATTAATTGAGGTATGGATGCTTTTCATATTTGGGAATCTATCACCCAAAGAGATCCTTCAAATTATATTTTCAAGATTTCAAATTCCCCGAATCGAGGGTTTTCAATCTGTAACATGGGCCTTCTCAAAAAACATTTTTAAATGTTTAATTGTTGTTTACAATGGTTGATTATGATGATTTATGATTGGAATGTTTAAGTATTTATGAATTATTATGAAAATCTCTCTTGGACCCATGATTTCAAGTTTATTCCTAAATATTGAACTATAGTATGGCTTGATTGATGATGGGGCTTGACAATTGATTATGCTTACTTTAGTTAAGATGTTCAATCATGATAATTTTCTACTAATGTGAAGATTCTAGAATTTAGGTTTAATATTGATCCTTAGCTTTGAAGAGAAACTTGTTAGGGATTATACACATTGATGATGATTGTATATGAACTTGTGATTTACTTATATAGTAATGATCCTGTGACTATATTTTAATTGTGGTATTGACAAAATATCATTTTTCCCTATACTCTTCCACTTGTTTATGCATAAAGTATGTATATATGTTCAAAATAAGTTTGTTATGTTGATTAAATGGCAATTTCATGAAGCAGAATGAATATGATGTGAAAGGTTCACTCACATATTTATTATTCTAAGGTTGGAAGGATTTAAGGGGAATTATACTTAGCACCGAGTGGATATGTTATCTTCTATGTCATAAAGTATTGCATCCCAATATATGTTATCTCATTAGATGTAAAGCTTTTACGCTAGAATTTTTGCTCTCTATTAGCAATCTCCTTATCTCGTAAATTTGTGCCCACATAGGTCTTTAGCTAGTGGCTCCATCAAAAAGCTATTATGTATGTTATACCTTAGGAAAGTAGGACACCTTTTTTTGTGTGGGGATAGAACACCAGATTTCATGTAGCTCGTATGGTCTGTGTTGAATAAGCATATTCTTGCTTATATGATATGAATATGAACTATGATAAGAACATGGACATTAATTATGATTTCGTAAGAGATATTGGTTTTTATGAGTAAGGGTATGGACTTCACTTATGCATTGCACAAGTAGGCTTTAAGAGAGGTTATAGTGAGATTCTCTTATCTTAGGAAGACTTAAAGATTATGTATGTATACTGTGCATTAAGGTTTAGGTTGACTTCACTCTTTACAAGTTATGAATATTATTATCTCCTT